TCCCTCCCTCCTCTCTTTCTCTCCCCCCACTTCCCCACTCTCTCCCCCCTCTCTCCTCTTTCTTCTCTCGCTCTCTTCCTCCTCCTCTCTTCCTCTCTCTCTCTCTCTCTCTCTCCTCTCTCTCTCTCTCTCTCTCTCTCTCCTCTCTCTCTCTCTCTCTCTCTCTCTCTCTCTCTCCTCTCTCTCTCTCTCTCTCCTCTCTCTCTCTCTCTCTCTCCTCTCTCTCTCTCTCTCTCTTCTCTCTCTCTCTCTCTCTCTCTCTCTCTCTCTTTCTCTCTTTCTCTTTCTCCCTCTACATCTTCTCCCTCTTTTATGTTGTCTAAGGAAGTCTCACATGTTTCATTTCAATGTCAAGTTGCGTCACAGATGCCAATTAATCCATACTCTTGCTGTCCTGGCAAGCCCAAATCAAACAGCGAGCAGGTTGCCCTAAAGGCGACCAATCGTACCAGAGGAGCAGAGAAGAAAGAGGGGAGAGGGGGAAAGAGCAGCGGGAGACCATATCCTGCCGGAGCCGCCGATTCTCCATGGGTGGGACGCGCTTAATCATTTATCTGTCGGGTGCGCTCCCCCACCGCTGGGCGTATTTCGCTGACTGCGCGATGTTTTACAACATCGCTCTGTCGATACGATCTTGATTGAATACAGCACGTGATGGATGTTGGGATCGCCGCTGTCGTCGCCGCACGCCCTCTATTGTGTGCTAAACGCTCTCTGCCCAACGGAAACCACATCCGAGAATGTGACGTCACGCATTGGTGGGTCGCTCGTTACATGCCTTGTCCTGAGAGACGAAGCGTGATTGTATATCTGTAATATTTTGGCATACCCACAGAATGTTCATATAAACATGAGCATGCTGTGACATTTGAGCTGACTGGTGTTGTGTGGTGTTCGCATATATGCATGCGTTTGCCTTGGTTACGTTTTTTGTTTTGTACGGCGCGTTTCATTGTGAGCGCTAGTGCCCAGTTCATATGCTAGTGTTAAAAATGTTATGGAAGTGGTTTTGATACAGGTGTCTTGTTGACACGAGTGTGGTTGACTTTTCCGGGAAGAAAATTGCTAAGAGTTGCAACACATACTTCGATCGAAATTTTGGTGGATAAAGTTTTCATGCTGCATGAACGGATTAAAATGAGGTAAACGTGTATCACAAAACATGTTACGCAACCACTCAAACCCCAGCTCTGAAAGATCTAAAACGGTACAAAACTACAGACAATCACAGCCCACTTGTTTTCTTATCTATATCATGCACACATTTGCTCACGTACCTGCACAAGCCGCATCCATATACCAGAACCCGACCGCGGCTTATGGCTTTAGTGGCTTATTTTCTTCTGCAGGTAGATTGCGAGGTATATTCTGACAGAGTTGTCACTGTTCTGTGGATCTAGTTCGGCTGTGGATTAGTGGAATGTCGGTGCATTTTCATAAGAAAATACCTTAAATCACTGCAGCCAATCACACGTACGATTCGTTCTCGCCGGACCACAACATGCCTGCGGAGGTTTACGTAACCGTCTGTCAATAAACCTTCGAACATTGTGCCATCTTCCCAAAATAGCTGTCGCCACTGCGCCACAAAAAGCGCCGCGTTGTTGAATTTTCAACTATTGAGCTCTAGTGAGCTGTAATCGCTCGAGAGCATCGTGATGTCCTGCTCTCACTGCCCTACAGCCTTTTCACGACCGATTTCAGAACGTTCAAATAAATGATTCAGGGAACTTTTTCTGCACGATATTTTTCTTCTCAGGCTATTACGAGAAGAAAAACAGTTCTGAGGAGATTCTCAGTACAATGAGGCCTTTCGTGCCCTATTGTCCCTTGGGCAGGCAATATGGCACAACGCCTAGCGTCATTTATATTCAATGGCAGCATGTAGTGCTGTTTTATACCCTGACGGCCGTCGTGAAGGAGACCAACAAGCAGCAAAATATCCTCCTGACGGCCACAAAAGTGACGCGTTTTACGTGAGCCATCACGGGTCTTCAGCCCTTGCCAGAAGCCGATGTGAGCCCAAAACTCTTTTCCTACACGATTAGTATTCATGGATAATCTTGTCAAGATAGTTTCATGTAATGAGTTAAAGATACTATGCAACCCAATGAGCACTTTTGAAGTAATCTCAGGCAAAGAGCGCAGGCACCAAGCATGTTCAGGCTAGTTGAATGGAAGAGTTATGTCTACCAGCCTTTATCCCGCTACTGTTTCTAAATCATCAGTTGACAGCTGCGTGTCACCCGCGATTAATCTCTCTTAACATTCTCATCCATCATATGATACATTTCTCGGGACCAAAACAGCTCATCTTGTGCTTGGTCGTTCTTCGTGGTGCGCGGACGTTGTCGAAGTCGACGGTTGGTGAGCTTATCCTGTCGTATTTGACCCGTAGCGTCCATGAGGTTCACACATTCTTCGCTGCAAATTGGCAGACCATGTTGAATAAAAATCACATTTACATCAAGAAAATTTGATGCCGCGCCAAGCACGGCCGTTTCCATTCAATCGCAGGCAACCACCGTCCGCTATCTTGACGTTCCAGCGAATCTGCAGAGCGCTGGGTTTTTGTCTGGTGGATCAGACACGCATGGAATAGTCCAATTTACTCATTAAAGCGGCACCACCCAGGGTATTTTACCAACCACGACTGTGTGAAGGGTTTCAGGGCAGCTCTCTACTGTCTTAGCATATGATCATTGGATCAAAGGATTTAAGTGGCGATTGATAGCACTGGTCGATGTGGCCCAGAAATGTTGTCCAGCTGATATCCGTAACATCACGGGTGACGTCACAGATCACGCAAAATGTCTCGAAGACCACCACACTGTCTAAACGACTTAGGCTCATGGCATCAATTGCAGAGCTTTGCTAATAGCTCCAAAGGAACGAACATATTTGTTCCCTTCAGAATCATACTACATCATCAACACTGGTCAAAGATCAAGGTCATTATTTGTGAGCCAAGCCAAGGTTGGGTCAGCTCATTTGATTTTTTTTTTTCTCTCTTCCAGCTCATGTGACCTATTGTTCCCACTTGCTTTGACAGGTGCTAGTTTAACCAGATCATATATTACAAATGGACGGCACAAGCCTTGAGGCTCGAAGCCTTGAACCCTTTGACTTAACACAACATTATGTGTTTTTTAATATCGTGTGAATTGAACCAACTGACAGGCCATGGCAATTTGGTGAGCTGCATGCAACGGTTGCGAATTATTCGAGAAACTCGGAGAGGGTTGTTGTTTCGCTGCCGCTGGGTTCGCGGGTCAATGGACGGACCCATGTAGCCAATGAACCATTAGCATCTACGGCGCTCCCCAAGGCGCAGCGGCATAACCGCCATTTTTTTCCCGCCATTCTGGTGACCATCACCATTACCCATCCTGGACGCACATCATATCCGCACTAAGGACACCCCAGCCGGAGCATACCGCGCAGGGGCGCGTGTCCCAAGCGCCGTGATTCTCCGCCCGCCGTCACTAAACACAGTCCTCTAAATCCATCCGAGGTCGCCACACTGCCCATTACCCCGCGCCGGGCAAGTGTGCTTGCCCGGCGCTGGCTCCCCCTCGTTACCTGCTGGTGCCCGCTTATTGTAAACCGTTGCGCCGCCAGCGATGAGTTAGGCAGCTCGGCGCCACGCGACTGACGCGAGGAGCCCTTTCCCAGTTTGTGCCGGACGTGCTCGGGGCGCGTTGGATCTCTGGGGCTGGGATGGATCTGAATATTTCGCTTCCTGGTGAAGAAGGCCAGATTTGTGAATGCGCGCGCCGTGACGTGAATTTCCCACGCAAGTTGATGTGTTTGGAACTGGGATATGGCGGGATTACGAACAGCATCAGAATTTCTCATGAGTCGGCAGCTTAGATCCTCATGCTATGGGCCTTCCTCTCGCGGTTTAACCATGCCTGCAATCCTGGATAATGTGATGCACGCGTCGTTTTTGCAGTATGCGTGTGCGCCTATCCGCACATTGCCGCCTCGT